ATATATATGAAGTAATATAGAATATTTTAAAGCAAATGAAAGACCTATAAAGTTCAATATAGCCAAATTCCAAATATATTTTAAAGAAAACAATCTCTATGAAGAGTTAGGAAGATGAGAAAAAGCATGTTGTTGGAAATTATCAAGACATACTTCTTGGAGCATTTACTGGAAACAATTGTTCAGTAAATCACAGATTATTTTTAAGTGAAGAGGAGGAAAAGCAGAGATACATTTAAAATTCCACAGAGATAAGGGGTGATTTATCTGGGTTCATAACTCATCATGTTGAGAATGTTGCAGAATAGTAGAAAGCGCGGTAAGTCAGCTTCAGAGAAGGGGGATTTATTACAATGACTAGGATGAAAAGTTTGATCTCATAGGAAATGAAAGATAATAGCAGGTTCTTAGGTGAGAAAGTCACTCTTTTATAGCAATGCTTTTGACATCACTTATAGATTTCATTACAAATAATTTCCATATAATTAAAATTAAACCCTAGCTTTTATTAATTTCTGGTTATGAAAAATACTCCCAAAGAAAACTTAACTTCTTATTCAATGATCTATTTAGAAATATCTATTTCAAGCATACTAGAACAAAAATGAAAGTTATAAGGTTCTATGACAATTCATCTAGTACATAATCTAAAGAAAGTTAAAAGTTCAACAGTTATATAATGAGATACAAGATAATGTTTTTTATAAAACTGACGGAAACAATTTAAATGTATAAGTGTAGATGTTAAGAAATAGAAGGAGTAGAAGCAAAGTAAGTAAACAAAATATTTCCTCAGGGGCTCCTTCAAAAATGTTGTGTAAACAGTGCAATAGATATATAATATTCTGAATTGCCTTTGGATGTTACTGCTTGTATTTCTGAAACTAAGGCATTTTTAATGAGAAATTATTTAAATGGAATGATTATCCTAATTGCTGTTAACTATTCTGGAGCTTTGTAGTTTTTTTCCCCTTTTACAGAATTATATTCACCTATTTTCTATTATTTTAATCAAGTAATTTGTTATTTATCTGTCTTTTATTAAAAAATTTATTAAAGAGTAGTTGACATACAATATTATATTAGTTTCAGATGTACAACATAGTGATTCTACATTTATATGCCTTACAATGTTGTTACCACAATGCTTCTAGTAACCATTTGTCATTATGCAAAGTTATTACAATATTATTGGCTATATTCCCTGTACTGCACACTGCATCCTTGTGGTTTATTTATTTTATAACTGAAAGTTTGTATCTCTTATCCCCCTTCACCTTTTTTAACCACCCCCACCTCCCCCCTTTCTGGCAACCATTAGTTTTATTTTCTGTATCTATGAGTCTGTTTCTGTTTTGTTTTGTCTGTTTTATTTTATTAGAGTCCACATATAAGTGAAACCATACAGTATTTGCCTTTGTCTATCTTATTTATTTCACTTAGCTTAATACCCTCTAGGTCCATCCATGTTGTTGCAATTGGTGAGATTTTATTATTTTTTATGACAGAGTAATATTCCATTATTTATATATATATACCACTTATGTATCCATTCATCTATTGATGGACACCTAGGTTGCTTCCATAGCTTGGCTACTGTAAATAATCAAACAGTCAGCAAAAAACAAGTGTTGGCGAGGATATGGAGAAAAGAGAACCCTTATGCATTGCTGGTGGGATTATAAATTGGTGCAGCCACTATGGAAAACAGCATGGAAATGAAAATGCTAATTCATTGCAAGATGAATGTTTATTGCAAGACTGATGTCTCTTTAAAAAGTGAGTTCTGGCAGCAGACGGCCTTCATACTTGTGCTGTAACATTAAATCTTCTCTGAGTCTCCAGACTGCCAGCCAACCTTGCAGATTTTGGACTTGCCTATACAGTCGTGTGAGCCAATTCCTTAAAATGAAGTTAAATTTCTCTCTTTTTCTCTGTCTCTCTCTCTCTCTGTGTAAAGAAAAAGAGAAACACATTACACACACTATTGATTTTGTTTCTCTGGAGAACCCCTAACTAATACAAATATGTAACAAAACAGAGATGGCTAAAGAGTGTTACTGAAAGTTCTCTGAAGAAATAAGTCATATATCCTTATGGCTTAGGTAATTTGCTTGTGAATTTAGACAAACTGAAAAAAGAGAAGATGCTTGTAAAACTCAAGTATAAAGGAATGCCATAATATGTGGCTATTTGGATGACTATTTATAGATGATTTTCCTACTACAGTGTGAGCTTTAAGTGAAAATTTATCTAATTTTAACCATTTAACCAATGTTTTTACAAGTCTAAATACCTATTTTTATTGAATTTATTGGGATGACATTGGTTAATAAAATTATATAGGTTTCAGGTGTATAAGTCTACAATACATCCTCTGTATACTGTATTGTGTGTGCACCCCAGGTGAAGTCTCCTTCCATTTCCATTTATCCCCCTTTCCCCTTCTACCTCCCCCCCTTCCCCTGGGATAATCACCGCACTGTTGTCTGTGTCTATGAAGTTTTTATTTTTGTTTAATCCCTTCACCTTTTTCACACACAACCCCCCCCGCCACTCCCATTCCCTTCTTTCTCTGTATCAGTGAGTCTGTTTGTATTTTGTTTTAGTTTATTTTGTTCATTAGACTCCACATATAAGTGAAATCATATAGTACTTGTCTTTCCCTGACTGGCTTATTTCACTGAGCATAATAACCCTACAGTCCATTCGTGCTGTCACAAAAGGTAAGGTTTCCTTCTTGGTTACAGCTGAGTGGCACTCCACAGTGTAAATGTGCCACAGCTTTTTATAGCCTCATCTGCTGATGGGCTCTTGGGCTACTTCCAGATCTTGGCTATTGTAAATAACACTGTAATGAACATAGGGGTGCATATGTTCTATTGAATCAGTGTTTGGGATTTCTTTCTTTGGGTCATAAGGCAATTCCATTTTTAATTTTTTGAGGTAACTCCATGCTGCTTTCCAATCTGCATTCCCACCCGCAGCGCAAGAGAGTCCCCTTTTCTCCACTCATTCCAGTCTTTTAAATGACAGGAAGCCTCTTACAAAACATTTTTTATACAGACATTTTTCACACATTCTTAAGTAGCTGAAAAACAATCATGTTTCTAATAGATTGGCTCTCAAGATATGGTTCTAAGCCCGGGCTGGTGTGACTCGGTTGGTTGAGCAACACCGCATGCAGAGAGGGTGCTGGTTTAGTCCAGGTCTGAGTGGGCTTGATCCCCAGCGGAGGAGGTGCAGGAAGCAGCCAATTGATGTCTCTCTCTTATCGATGTTTCTCTTTCTCTCCCCTCCCTTCCTCTCTCTTTGTAAAAAAAAAACAGCAGCCACAAAAAGATACGACCCTTCGAGTAGCTATATCAACCTCACCTCGGAAATGCTGGATGGAAAACTCAGCAGGTAGGACCCACCAATCTGTTTTTACAAGCTTTTGGGGCGATTCTGATGGAGGTTAAAGTTTGAAAGCAGCTTAGGTAAATGTGGGTAGTTATATGTTGTTTTAATAAGATGCTCATTATCTTGCATTTCATGACATTTCAACCTGTTTTGAACAATTGCTAGAATGTAGGTATAACCGAATATAGCACTCTTTCTCCATAGTAACACATTTTGTCTGTCACAAAAGTAACCCATTTATGAGAAATTTAAATTGGCATGGCACAGAGTTGTTTTAAAAGTAAAAATAATATACTAAAAGTATGGGAAATGTGTTAGATTAAAAATAATATAAAAATCTTATCATATTAGCTACATAGAAAATGCTTGATTCCATGTTACAGTAAAAAGTAAAATTTAGCTTAAGACAGTATCTGAAAAACATGTATATATGTAATATGTATATATAATATATAAAATTTACCTTTTAGTATGGACTATAAACCCAACAAACAGCTATACCTGACAGTATATATTTGCCAAAAATTTTTAATTAAACACTAAAAATCAATGAATTCTATCGTAGGTAAATTATATATCAATAAAAGTGACAAAAATTTAAGTCATCACTTTATGATTCCACATAAACTCTATCCTATATTTATATATCTCTGCAAAATTCCTATTATTCTGTGTTAAATGTTATATCTAATTTATATCATAGGTTTATCAACCTAGATGAGCCAAGTAAAGGAGGTCCTGGGAACATTCCAGATTTGATGAATAATTTAGCTTTGAGTATGACAAAAGGAAAGTAAGCTGACCTAAAAAGGTTGAACTTACCTATTTCAGAAAAATCAGGAAATTCTCCTGTCTCCTATTGATACTACCACAATGAATTCATGAATAGAGATCAGCCTTTACCTTAATAAGGATGGGAAAGTGCTACAATACATAAGTGGTTTAAGCATTATCACCCACTTTGTGACACCAAAGATGTGCCTATAGGAGAGCGCCGGGGCTTTAAGTCAGGTGGGCGCAGTATTTAGCACTAACTCCCCAGCACATAGTAACTTTGGTCAAGTACCAACCCTCCTCGAGCTTCAGTTTTCATGTTTGCACGATAAGAGTGAACGTGCTAGCATCTGCGTGTACCCAGCGTGACAGTAGGCACTGGGTAAGTGGATGGCATTGCTGTTTTTCTTTAGACGGCACCATGTGTCCCTTGAGTTCCCCAACCTCCTTAACTCTGACATAACCCACCTGGCATTTTATTCTTCCCCATGTTTAAGCAGAAGTGGCACAAACGCTTCTTGGCTCTTACCTTCTGGCGAGGGCGGCTGGCGGGCTTGAAGTGGGGGAGATGAGGAAGCAGGAAGCAGCTAAATGAGGGCAGGTCCTCTGCCTGAAGTGTTCTCTGTGCCCAAATTCCGGTGTTGAATCAGATGCTAAACTCCTGGGGCTATTTCTGGAATTACCGCCGCACCCCTGGATTGCCCTGCCAGTCACAGAAATCAGAATACTCTTCACTCACAAAGAAATAAACCAAAGTGGACAGCTGCCTCCAGGTAGTAGCCATCGACAGCCAGCACCTGCGTGGATTTCATCTGCTCAGCCAGACCCCTGGAAACTCGAGGGGCTAAGCAGGCTCACTCAGTCCTTCCATTATCCCTGCAATAACTGCACCTCCATATTTTCCATGATGAAGCTTTTTTGGATTCTGCTTATTACATTATGATAGACTTTCACTCTATGTAATAATGTATCAATCATGCTTTTTTATTTTTTGTTTTTCTGATGCTTTGACATGTTTGCTGAACCTGAAGGGACTGTCCCTCCCAGAGCTAGCCAATCCTAGAGATAGTAAAGGGTTCACCTTTGAACATTCATATGCACACTAATCAATACAGAACCCATATCCCCGCCACCTCCTTTATTGGGCTCTTTCAGTCCAGGTCACTACTCTCCTGCCCTAATCAGCCCAGGACCAAATGCCAGACAATTACAGGCAGCTTCTGTACCTATATACTCTCTATACCATGGTGCCCACTGAAAACATTCAAGCTAGCCAATCCTAATAGTGCTTATCCTGTGTTGTCTTTCCTTCCCCAGGGAAACCACAATAAAAGTTCTTGCCCACATTTCCCCCTCACTCCCTGTGCCTCCTGATTGACCCTGGTGCTTCCCTGCGTGGGCCCCTGCGAGGCATGGTATGCTCCCTCCTCTTGGGAACTGTGAGTAACAAACTATTTCTCATTGACCTCAACATACTTGATTCATAATCAAATCTACATTTTAAAACAGACAAAAGTGTGACAAGATATTTAACAAGTTCTTCTCAAATCTTCATGTGAAAGGATTAACATGGACAGATATCTTGTTAAAATGCAAATCTGAGTCAATAGATGGGAAGTAAGGCCCTGCATTTCCAAAGCGATGCCAAAGCTTCTAGTCTATGGGCCACACTTTTAATGACAAAGTGCTGCATTAGACACACCCAGTTTCAATAGTCTCTTTTCTGAGAATTTTGTCTAATTGTGTTACCTCTTCCCAAGTGGTTTCCTTCTTTGTAAAATGGAAATTAAAAACACAGCCTACCCAACAAGCTGTGCTAAAGACAAAACAAGGCACTATGGACAAAACGAGAAGTAATTATTAAGCTGTAAGTATATATAAATCTATAAAAAGTATAAACTGTTATATACTTTATTTCAGAATATAAAATCCTTGTAGTTCACCCTTAAATACTATAGAAATAGCAATTTACATTTGAAATGCTTGTTATGGATTTTCTGTATCTGTATATTAAAATAAGTCTCCAAAGATCACTTCCCACTGACATTGTTAACATTCTTTCGTATGTTCATATGCAGTGGAAGTAATAAAATTAACTCTCTAAACATATAGACACTATTAAGAACCTTCAAATTCAGAACTATCTTCTTCAAAATTAACTGTATTTCTGAGGTTTTTTTGCTCAGAGCACAAAGTAACTCAAAGTGGGATGTGTCTATGCTATTCAAAAGTTAAAAAAAGGCATCCCCCAAAAGAATATTTATAAATATGTTCTTTAAGCCAGACTAGTAATAACTGTAAAGCTTACTCTGAAAAACAAATATAAAAGCCCAAGAGAAGTTTTGAGACAATTTGATGAAGGACTTAATCTTTGCAATAAAACTGAATTTTACCAACAACCAAGTAGGTATAATTCATTTAAACAAATATAAATCAAGACTCTATTGTATGCAGACCCCCATAGTTCCATGAGTAGGAGGGAACAGGGCCAGCCTTTAAATGGCTGGTTATATATCTATAGGTTAACTCAGACCACCTTGTAGGAGATAGGACATGGTAACTGTCTTATGAAAAAAACAAATCTAGTAATGGTGCTTCCTAGAAACCCTTTACGAGGATAAGTTTAGCTTACTTGAAAAAATGTAGAATTTGAAATTCTTTACTGAGTTTGAATTAGAGATCAAAAGATAAGGCAGATAATAGAATTAAAATCAGCAAAGACATGAATGTGGAAGCAAATGGACAAGGTGAGGGGAAAATGCAAATAGGTTCTCCAGCTTGGCAATATGATGCCCACACAATAGAATCACTATGTGGTCAGATATAAACTAGGAAAAAAAGAGGCTGCATCTACTTTGGAGAAGGCTTTTGACCCTAGGTAGGGTCCTACAACAAACAATATGAAGCCAGCTCTAAAAGAATTGGACTTTGTTATCAAATTAAATAATTCATAATGGTGACCATAAAATGATGAATTGGAGAATTGGGGTAGTCAAGGAATCTATGACACATCAGGAAATAGAAACTTTTAAGGCCAAGCAGAGGTGTTTTACAGAACATTTTATATAACGTGCTACTTTTGAATGGTAAAGTTTAAGGTTGAAGATATAGCATCAACCTTGGAAAATGATGCCAAGGGACAAAACAATGGCAGCGATAAGTTAATAAAATGTAGGACAATTTTCAGAAACAAAATATAAATAACTAATAAAGTTGAAATATGATCAATCTTAGAAAATCAAAAGAAAGGTAGGAAATTTTTTATAATATTATTAAATACTAAAATGTGACATCTAGATGTTTGTGGGCTCCTCTTACTGGCTCTGGTGCTCTGGGCTGGGGAGCCCTGGGTGGAGTTGAGACCCCTTGCTTCTCAGGGGGGACCTTTGCAGCTGAGATATCCCTTCAGATTCTCAACAGTCGCATGTGGTTATGGGGCCAGCCCTTTTTGAGTCTCTGCCCTTCCTACCAGTCTCAATGTGGCTTCTGTAAACTCTTGATAAGATGTCTCTTCAGCTAGTCTTCAGTTGGTTATTCAGGTTGATTATTCTGTAATTTAGTTGTAATTCTGGTTAGTCCTGGAAGTGAGTGTAACATCCACCTACTCTGCTGCCATCTTGGGTCCCCCTTGTGCCTTTTAATAACTACTTCTTTGCTTGCTGTAGTTTTGTAGGTCTCATGGATTCAAGCCCTGTTGGCTTTCAGTGGTAGGTGTTTTGGGGACCATCACTCAGGTGGGATTATTTTTTAAATTAAAGTACAGTTGATATACAGTATTATATTAATTCCAGGTATACAGTGTAGTGATTTATATTTATATACCTTATGATGTGATCACCCCAGTATGTCTAGTAATCATCTTCCAGTGTACAAAGTTATTACAATATTATTGATTATATTTCCTGTGAAAAATATGGAGTGCTTCACAAATTTGCATGTCATCCTTGCACAGGGCCATGCTAATCTCTGTATTGTGCTGCTGAAGTGTGCACTCAGGTGGGAGTCTTAAAAGTTGAGGCTCTAAATGTGGGGTCCAACCTCTACACTCCTCAGGCTGAAGATGGGGGTTGGGGGTTTACTCCAGTTGTATGCTGTGGCAGGGTTTATGGAGAGAGTGTGTCTCAGCCTTCCTTACCTGTTTTGATGTGGGTATTTTCTTGTTTTCCCAATGAATAGGAGTCACTCAGGTAGTTTCTGGATTTCTTTCAGGGGGAATTGCTCCATGTG